AAAAAAAAAAACCAAAATGTGTTTTTTCAAACTTTTGTTTTAAAAAAAAAAAAAAAAAAAAGTAGGATTCCTGCCATATACACCGCAAAAAATGATTTTTTTTACACTTAGAAAAAAAAAGTGTAATTTTAAAAAGTATGTGTAAATGTAAGTGTAAAAAGTAGCATTCCTGCCATATACACCGCAAAAATGATTTTTCAAAGTTAAATCAAAAAAGATGATTAAAGTATGTTTTACAGCAAAATACTATTTCAAACTTTCAAATTTCACATTTAATTCAATGTGTTGCTTGCCCTTTCTTTAATTATTTGGGAAATGTACTAGCACTTTCTAAGTGTAAATGATTTCGAACTTAATCCTACACCAGTATTTTTTTCCAGTGTATCCTGTAGCTGTAATATGATATATTTAATACCAAACATAAAATCAAAAAAAAATTTTTTCTCTTTCTTCCCACAGCTGAAGGAGTTTCAACAGAAGACAACCCCATCCACAGCAAGTGCTGGACCAAAGAAGAAGAGGAAGGTTAAAGCAGGCGATCAGCTGGACGCAGCTGCTGACAGAAACTCGCCGGACAATGTGAGTCAGGTGCGTAATCAATCCACGCCGCCTGAAATCAGAGCTTCGCAGATGCATGAATGTTCACTGTCAGCTTTGTTGAGATCTGGTGTCTTGCTGTCTTTCGACTGATCTGTGTATGACACTTGCCCACTGCAGGAATTAATCCTCATCTCAGGAACTGTGTTGTTAGCTTCTAGTTCTGCTTTGTTTTTATACAGCTATTGGTTTCTTATTTATTGTAATTAGTCATGTTTGACAGTGAATTACAGAGAGTCTGATAACATTAACGTTAAATATTATTAAATTAAATAAATAGATGAAATATTTAAACTAAACTGAAATTTCTAAATGTTGCCTTGGCAACTAACTAAAATATGTTTATGTTAACTGACTAACTAACTGGAAATAAATAAAACGAGAACAATTAAAAAGCATTTTTGTAAAAAAAATTGTTAATAATGAAGCTGAAAATAAAATGTACATTTTAGATGAAAAACCTAAACTTATTTATCGTTTTGTTTTAGTTTAAGTTGAAACACTAAAATGATTAACTAACTGTAAATAACTAGTTAAAGCTGAAAAAAAGTGAATCAAAAATTGTAAATTCTATATACATTGTAAAGCTTTGTATAGTTTTCATAAGAATCTCTGCTCTATTCTTTTTTTCCATTTTCAATTTATTCACATTTCAAATCATATTTCTTAGAAAAGAATATAATATAGTAAATATAATAAGCTATCATCTATTTTTAATGTGTATGTGCTTAATTTGATGTAATGAAATGAAATGGTTTTTTATTTAGTTGGTCGTCTCGCTAATCAACATGTAATATGTTTGTGATAAATAACGAATCTTGAACCTAGAAAATTAATTACACATACATATTAATTTTTAAATTAAAAATTTTTTTTTTTAATAATAAAAACTCATTAAAATGACAAAAGCACAAAACAAAATGACTAAAAACGACTACATTTAAAATGAAAACTGAAAAAAGGCTAATTCAAAATACTAATAAATGATAATTATAATTGTGATCGTATATAACTAACCCTTCATCTTGTGTTTCACTTTCTTACTACTGCTTCCTCCTCCTCTCTCACTCCTTTTCCTTTATGGTCTGCCTCTCCTTCCGCTGTAGATTGAGAATATTCTCAAAGTTATGGTGTCTGATCTTAGTCTGACTAATGGAGAGTTTATCAGCAACAGTCAGGTGAGCTGCTCGCTGTCCTTCCTCTCTTCTCCTCCCTTTGCTCTTTGATTTGTTCATCTGTGTTTCCACGCATGCTGCCTGATCATCGCAGGAAGTCGATGTTTGCATCCAGTCGGCATGAAATCAGACTCTTAGTTCATGTTTCCAGTCTTATCGTGAACGATTCCTCAGTGCTCGTCATTCTAAAGTACAGTAAATGTTTAATATGTTATAAATATTTGACTCGCACTGAAAATAATTTGTTGAAGCAATTTGCACTTAACACTGTAACAATTAATTGCAGAGAAACGGCAAATAACATGTTGCATTAAATGTGAAATCAAGTAGAAAGGCTTAAATAGTGTTTTCTTGTAAAACGTACTCCAATGTTCTTATTTGCTTTATTTGGCATCTTCAAACAAATCATTTTTACATGCTCTTTCATGTTAAAAAAAAGCTGCTAAGTTGCAGGGTCTGTCGTAATCAGCAGTGTTAGTGTCTGTTTGGATTGAATATTGAATATGCCTGGAAATGTCTCATCACCTGTACTTGATAAATATGAGAATGTTTGTGACCCTGCAGCACAAAAGCAGTGTTAAGTCGCTGAGGTATATTTGTAGCAATAGCCAACAATACATTGTATGGGTCAAAATTATACATTTTTCTTTTATGCCAAAAATCATTAGGATATTAAGTAAAGATCATGTTCCATGACGATATTTTGTAAATGTCCTACCGTAAATATAATCACTTAATTTTTGATTAGTAATATGCATTGCTAAGAACTTCATTTGGACAACTTTAAAGATGATTTTCTCAATATTTAGATTTTTTTGCTCCCTCAGATTCCAGATTTTCAAATAGTTGCATTTCAGCCAAATATTATTCTAACAAACCATGCATCAATGGAAAGCTTATTTATTCAGCTTTCAGATGATGCATAAATCTCAATTTAGAAAAA